CCCTTTAAGAATATTTTCCAGAAATTGCACATACTATTTTTACTTTGGATCCTATTGACCAGTCTTTACACACATAGTCGCTCTGAACTACAATAAAAATGTAATTTTCACTCTGGCAGCTCTGTATCCATCAGTAGTCGGGAAGTTATGTTGTTGATAAGAAGGGACGAGTACCATTGTATACCTGTTAGTCCCTGAACTGCCAGCCCTCTAAACAATGAGGAGAAATTAGCTTTGTAACATTTGGCTTTGTCTATTTTCTCTTATATCTAAGTTTAAATTACCTGTCATACTATTTACGCATTCCGTGACTTTTTAAGACAGATGAGTTTGTCCAATGAGTCATCTCCCTTGCCTTTCTCTGTATTCTGTTATCACTAGGAATTCAGTATTAAGGTAGCAGTGAAGAGTACCTAGCCAAACTACTAAGGTTCTAAGCCTGCCAGTGCTACCTGATGGACATGTATGTAACCTTAGCTTTTTTGTGACACAGTCTGTCCATTTTAGAATGGGAAGACAGCAGTACCACACATGAGTTTCCTGGGATAACACTATTATGTAATTTACAGGATTAAATAATGAGTTGTAAAGAATTCAGAAAAGCTCTTGATACATAGTAAACCCTCAAATGTTACTATTATCAGTTGATAGGTTCCTAGTGAAAGTAGTTTTAATTATATCTTAAATAAAACATAAATTTAAAATTTAACGGTAAAGTCATATGAATATTATCAGCGTGGTAAATAAAAGTGATTGAATAATTAAAAATGCATCTAACTTTGCTTACTTCATTTTGGAATATTTTATTAACTACATTGATTGGTGATTCTGTGTGATGAGCTGTATTTTAGACTATATATACAAGTGTGTGGACATTTAGTGTTTTTCTTTTGAACTTTATACATTGTTATTCCTTTTAAGTCCATTCAGAGCCAAAATGTCAAAAGACAATTAGCAGTGAAAATATCTTGTTACCTGTGTCTTGGGATAAATTAACTAAACAGTGAGCCTATTAGATAATAATTATGTGGCAATTGAAAGTTGAGTGTCTTTCAAGATAGAAATAGGCCTCAAGAAAAAGGCTTTATTCTGTTATTCCTGGAAGTCTTGTTTGGTTAAATATTTCTTTGTACTTTGTTTAGTTTTATAGCAAACTGCATAACTTTTCAGACCTGAAATATTTTATTAAAGTTTATGTTTGTGCCTGTCACTTCCACAGAAAGACATAAAAGAGATAATCAAATTTGCATCCTCCATATTCTACACGCTATTTAGAAGACTTAATTTGTCATACTAAACAGCCATACATGTTGCTACTTTTATAGAAGTTTCTTATAAATCTCAAGTCAGAAATAACAGTACATTTTTTCATGAGCTTAAATTGTTTCTAAATTTGGAAATCTCCAAGATGGTAAGAAATAGTTATATTTCCAAAATAAGCTGTGATACTTCACAATAATGTACCATGTTCTTGAGATACAGGTTAGGAGGCCTGTGTTTCCTGGGCTCTGTACATATTCTAGTCTGCACTTCACGCTAAGGTATCAGGACAGTAACCCTCACTGTGTGCTTTTGGAGTATGACAGGTTTATTGAACAGGTCATCTAGTTAACTAATTTCTTGAATGACACTCCAGTAAATAAGAGGTGATAAAATTGTCCTCTTGAGGGACAGCAACACTAACATTGCATAACTGTTGAGTCTGAAATCAAAATAAGCCCTAAACTAAGAGCTCAGATGAAGTTTTTCTGTGCATATATGTCTATATCTAGAAGTCAAAACTGGATTCTCACTCTTAGTAGATGAGCTACTTATAACTAAGACAAGAGCCAACACACAATCTCTGCAAGATATTTGGATACATAAAAGGGTCTTGATTAGAGTATTTGCTGAGATAGTGAAAGTAACAAATCATGTCACATTCACATATTTCTCAGTCCCCTTCTGGTGGCAGTACGTTATATGCTCTCATAGTGTCTTCTTAAAGGGACTGTGCTGAAGTGGCTAAAATGCAATCCTAGACATTTAATTTTTAACAGTTTTCTAAGGGGATTTTAATGTGCCTTTTTCATAGTCTATCAGATATACATTGATTAGATAAAAATCCCATATTTTAATGATTCCACAATAATGATCATCTTTGCTCTCAGTATTTAGTCAGACAAATATTATAGTATAAAAATGCTGGCTAACAGCAATTAGACAAGAGAAAGAAATTAAAGCAATAAAGATAGGAAAGGAAGAAGTTAAACTATCATTATTTGCTGATGATATGATACTCTACATTGAAGATCCAAAAAACTCCACCAAAAAACTTCTAGACTTAATTGACAGATTCAGTAAAGTATCTGGATACAAGGTGAATACCCAAAAATCAATAGCCTTTATATACACAAATAACAGACAGACAGAAAGAGAAATAAGGGAAAAAATTCCTTTTACAATAGCATCCAAAAAAATGAAGTATCTAGGAATCAATCTAACAAAAGAAACAAAAGATCTCTACACTGAAAACTACAGCACTCTGAAAAAAGAAATCGAAGAGGATATAAAAAAATGGAAAGATATCCCCTGCTCCTGGGTAGGAAGAATCAACATAGTGAAAATGGCCATACTACCAAAACTGTTATATACATTCAATGCAATGCCAATTGAAATTCCAACACTATATTTCACAGAACTAGAAAAAAGAATCCAAAAATTCATTTGGAACCACAAGAGACCTAGAATAGCAAAAGCCATTATAGGCAACAGTCACATGGCACCAGGTGTAACAATTCCCAATTTGAAACTATACTACAAAGCCACTGTGATAAAAACAGCATGGTACTGGCAAAGAAATAGGCCTGAGGATCAATGGAACAGACTGGAAGACACAAAAACAAATGCAGATGTACTCAGCTACCTCATCTTTGACAAAGGAGCTCACCATCCTCAGTGGAGGAAAGATAGCCTCTTTAATAAATGGTGTTGGAGAAACTGGATATCAACCTGCCACAGATTAAAATTAGACCCTTATCTTTCGCCATGCACTAAATTAAAATCCAAATGGATTAAAGATCTAAATATTAAAACAGAAACATTAAACTTGCTGGAAGGTAAGTTAGGCAGAACTCTGGAAGACATTGGTATAGGAAAAGACTTTATGAACAAATCCTCAGTAGCACAGGAACTAGCAGAAAGAATCAACAACTGGGATCTCATCTTACTAAAAAGCTTCTGTACTTCAAAAGAAACCATTAGCAGAACTAAGAGACAATCTACAATGTGGGAAAAAATTTTTACCAGCTGTACCTCAGACAAAGGACTATTATCAAGGATATATAAAGAACTCAAAACAATCAGTCCCCCCAAATATAAAGACCCGATCCAAAAATGGGCATCCGAAATGAACAGACATTTCTCATACAAAGAAGTAAAAGCAGCAAGAAAATATATGAAAAAATGTCCCACATCACTGGTCATTCGAGAGATGCAGATGAAAACGTCACTGAGATTCTACCTCACCCCACAAAGAATGGCTGCTATCAAGAAATCACACAATAACAAATGTTGGCGGGGTTGTGGGGAGAAAGGAACCCTCCTCCATTGTTGGTGGGAGTGCAGACTAGTGCAACCACTATGGAAATCAATATGGAGATACCTCAAAGAGCTTGGACTGGAGATTCCATTTGACCCAGCCATCCCTCTGTTGGGTATCTTTCCGAGAGAACTAAAAGAATCATATCACAGAGAAGTATGTGCACCCATGTTTATAGCGGCACAGTTTGTAATAGCTAAATCTTGGAAACAACCTATTTGCCCATCCGTTGGAAACTGGATAAAGAAGTTGTGGTTTTTCTATAAAATGGAATATTACTCAGCCATAAAGAGCGAGAGAATAGATTCATTCATAGGAAAATGGATACATATTGAAGATATACTCCTAAGTGAAATAAATAAGTCCCACATGTGTAAATACCAAATAGTTTCCCTGGTGTGAATATTCTGCAACAATGCATAAGATTCTAATAAGATTACTGACATTTAGAAATGGGAGGAAAGGAGCTAAAGGTGTAGGGAAGGTGTGATACGTAGGGGAAGAACAAAAAGGGAAAAGAAAAAAATGTGAGAGAATGAAAAGATGAAAATAAAGTGTTTGTAGAGGGGGAGGGGAGGAGGGGGTGAAGGGAGGGCAGAGGTAAGGGGAAAAAATGAGAATCAAGGCTTGCCATGTAAAGGTACATGATCCCAACAATGAATGTAACTGTACTGTATCCCTAAATGTACCAATAAACTCAATAAAAAAAAAAATGCTGGCTAAACCACAGTATATTCTGTGTCTGCCATTTTTTTCACAGCATAGTATAATACTGTTGACCCTTTTTTTGCACATAGTAAATACAGTTCTTGAATGAAGATGACTTGGGGAAATACTTCGCTGGCTATACTCATGAGTTCTTTTTAAAAATATATTGATCATTTGTAAATTCTATAAAAGCTACATTTCCAATTTGTAGTAATGCATCTAAGATGTTTTCATTAAACTTGATCTAAAGACAACCATATAAACCACCTTGATTCAATAGCAAGTTGTGATGAGTTTTTCCTGCTTATTTTAATATTTTAGTTAATTTAGGACGGCAAATTTCAAGTTTTATTTTTGACAAAAATCTATATAGAAAATTAAAAACAGTGTTTAGAAGATTAAAAAATTAACATCTCAATACACTTAAGTTTTCATGGGTACCTGCGTTGTTAATTTTAAAAAATAAACTTTATTGTCATTGTCTCATATCACATTGTGATCTTGTAATCTAGGAACTAAAGCTGTTTTTTCATTTTGTTGTAGTTCAAAATAATTTAGTAAATATACTTAGACCTAAATGCTTTAATTTTTCTGTATTAAATACTGTGCCCAATATTATTTGTTAATTACCCTCCCCAGCCACACACCCCCATTTTTTGGCTTTTCAAATAGCTCCTGAATCTTCAAATTCCTCTTTCTTGTTTCTCTAAAGGTCGATTAAGCTACCCACATCCAGGAACTGACAATCTGCTGATGCTAAATGGTAAGTCTTATAAAAACATTTTGTATGTCTTACTGGGTCATATAAATAAAGATAACTAAATACATGTTTCTCTAAACCTTCTCTGATGCACACAGTTTAGTCACTTTATAACAATAAAATAAAGCTGTTGCCAGGCCTCGTAACAAAACCCTGTGGTCCCAACTGCTTGAGAGGTTGAGATGGTAGGATTGCTTGGGGCAGGCTCATCAGTGTGAGACCAGTCTCGGCAACAAAGCAAGACCTTATCTCAAAAAATGAATACAGCAAAGCCATGGCTGTACCTTTGCAGAGAGCAGAATTAATAATCTGAGTATATTCTGTTTGGTTAAGTTGTATTTGAAGTATATTTGTGACAGTTTGAGTTAATTCAGTGATCACAGATTTTGATGTAGTCCTTTGAATGTTAGCTTTTCAACTTAAGGTATGACCTTAGTTTCCCCACTTGTCAAATGGAAATATAATCTCAAGATTTTATATGAGAATTAAATGAGATAAAGTTTGAAAAGTACCTAGAACCTGTTACTTAGTATAAGCTCTTGTGTTTATGTTTAACTAAAGAATATACTTGGTGATTCTGTAAATGTAATAATCACATTAACTTAATGTATTCTAACTACACAGCTTCCATAGTTAAGTTCATCCATTAGGAGAAGAATAAACTTCCATTCAAGTTTGTTTTCTCTTGGTCAAGTATTAATATATAGAGAGAGTCACAGTACTTGGCACCTCCACGATTGCATGCATCAGAATAGAGGTTTAAAATATTTTTCACACAAGTATTTTTAAACTGTAGGTTAGTTGGGAAAGGGAAATAAGAAATAAAAATCAGTTTATTTTAAAAAATACATTAGAATGGCTTGCTTGACTCTTCTTTATCAGTGAAACTTTGTTGAAATAATATGGCAATTAAGTTTGCAAAACAAAGGTTGATAATAAAGTCAGGGCAAAACTAGACCATGTAGACTAATATCATGTGAAGATGACTAGTGACAGAATAAGGCCTATGCTACGTGGGAGATTATCAGAGTAGACAGAATTTAGAATGAGAAAAAGAATACAAAATGCAGAGTGTTAGGGGAGGTGACTGATAGTGTTTCAACACTTGATTCGCATATATTGAGTTGTCTACCACAAGACAGTATGGACCAGTGGAGGCGAACCTGTGGCACATATGTATCTCTAGTTATCATTGACACCTAAAAGGTTCGCTGTTGCTGGCCTAGACGAAGGTGAGCCTAGATTAAGGTCAGCCTGGACTGACTAGAAATTTCATTGAGAGACTTTTTGGAGCTCAGCTCTGGCTCTAAATATTATATATCACTAAAAATGATACTGTTGAAATTGAAATTGTAAAACTAAGCATAGCTTGCTTTTATTGTTCCTGTGACTTAGTTTGTAAAATAATGACAGGCTTAGGTAACAATGAATTATTTATGTATTAGTTCCTCTGAAACACTCTACATAGTAAGTAAAGAACATTCATGTATCTATTTTAACTTCTGAAAAAGCACATATAGTTAAAGTAGTTAAAGTCCATTTGAAGGAAAGTACTTCATGAGATAATATTTTAGACTGTCTACAGATGTTCCTAGATTGCTCAGTGGATAGAAAGCTAGAATAATTGCAATAAAACGTCAGTTATATATAAGCAAAAGTTTAGCAGTCAGACTGCTTTTGCAAATTAGATTTTTGGCTATACTAATTGTTAAACTGATGATTTTGTCAGTTGCCAGAAGCCTCTATCTAGATGTTAGGTTGAAAAGTGTTTTATAACACAGAAGACATAAAAGTATTTGATTTCAGGCAAGAGTTACATCTTGTGGCCAAAACTATTTTTGTATTATGTGAGCACTCTTCAGCAGTCTGCCATTTGGAGCTACAATGCATACTTACTGCAGGAACCTCTAAAATGTGAACTTCTGGCAAGGGACCAGAGAAGGAAAAGAAAAGAGATAATGGAATTAAGACATCAAACTGTATTTACGTCAGGAAGAGAAACAATTTGATTCAAGGAGGAAAAATATCTTATTTGAGATGATTGGCTGAGAGAGGAAGCAGGAGCCACATAATTGGGTATATTTGTGGAATACGGAAGTGGTAAATAGTAAAAATTTAAATAATTTGAGTAGATGTCCAAGTCATTTAGGAGAGAACTTGGCAAAGAGAAGAGAACTAAAAAGTAAGGGAGATTTTTTGAGCTGCTTTTTAAATACATGTAAATCAGTTATATACTGTATGTATTATCTCCCTGGGAAATATGGAAATTAAGTGCTGGTAGTACAGGGCTCTGCCTTTGCTAAATATTTATCAAATATTACTGACAGATTAAAGGAAGTGTGGCATCTCAGTATCTAGGATTACTTTTTATCCTTTTAAAGGCATATTATATGGTAGTTGGCTAAGTTAGTTGCATTATTTACTCTATAAGGCATAACTAAGATTGACTTTAAAACTGGTATCTAGTAATAAATTTTGTATCACTTTTAGAGCAGTTTAGCAGTAGTCAGCATTGATTGATACCATAGACACTGAAGCCAATTTGTGTTTTCTGTCTGTGTAGTCTTGAATAGCTTACCTTACTTCACTTGGACTTAAGTTTCTTCTTATTTATTACAACATCTTGCCTGCCTGGGATGGGAGACTGTTATAAGTGAATCATTCGTGTGAAATATTTAGAACAGTTTCTGAGAGTAAATAATAGCTGGGCATAATGGATCACTTGACCAAAATAACTTTATAAGAGTAAATTCATGATCTGTTAATAGATACACAAAGAAATGTACTCATCAATAATATTGTTAATGCCTGCATATATATATATGTTAAATACCCAGCTGTTTATTTTTGCTTAAATAAGGTTAATTTTTGATAAATGCTATTATAAAATAAGTATATGTGAAATTTGATGTTATAAATACAATTTTTATGCAAAACGTCCTTCCCCCATTTTTTCCTAAATGTTCCAAATTAGAGGAGCGGACTGAAGAATTCTTAAAAACATGGTAGTCACTTAACGAGTTACTTTACTTACTAGGAGTTTCTGATACTGTGATTCACTGTTACAGTGGAACGTAAACTAGAAATTCACATAAAAACAGTGGTAGAAAATTGAATATAAACACCGTCATTTAGTGAGATTGTTAACAGATTGTTTATTTTCATGACAGGGAGTAGGAAATGTTTTATGTGGTTTAGCTTCACCTGTAATCAGTTTTACTTATGATAATGTAAGGAGTTGGCCTCCTGAGAAGTTACCCCCAAAATAAATGGAATAGTTCTTTACAGGATTCTAAAATTACTCAGCTATGCAATAATTGAAGAATTTTTCTAAATAATTATATACTCCAGCCGAAGAATGAGATGAAATTTTCACTGTTTTAATACTGATTAGTGGTAGCTAAGACAAAAAGTTAAGAACATAAACTGGTCATGATGTCATTAACTTTCTCAGTAGGTCAATATTTATGTGCTACATTATCATCACTTGGCTTTAAACTTGATGAAAATAGTTTCATTTTCTTTAAAAATCTTTAACTCTCTAGTCTAGAACATACATGAATAAAATTCTCCAAAACAAACTTATATTGGATTCATATCTTAGGCCATTCTTTGGAATGAGCAGGAAACCTTACTCATGAGACTTGTGAGGCATTTGGGCATGTGTTGCCCATTTCCAGGCTTGAGGAATTTATCCTTCTGTAGCCTTTCTTGATAACTGTGTCAAAATGAAAACATGGAAACAAAGTCTGTGAATAGGGAAGGGTGGAGGGGGTAAAGGGAGGGCAGGGGAATGGGGGAAAAAATAAAAACTAAGATGCATCATGTAAAGGTACGAGATCCCAATCGATTGTATACCTAAAATCTACCATTAAACTTAATATAAATAAAGTTCTTAACAAAAAAATTACTGTCTATCTGATTTTCCATAGTCAGGTTCCCAGTGCCAGTAAACATCTTATGAAGACCTTTATAGCTCTTAGAAGACTTCGACAATAAAATTCCAAATACTTCCACTTTTATCCTCATTTTAAATTAATATGTAGGTGGCCTGGAGATTTAGCTCAGTGGTTCTGCCACCTGCCTTGCAAGTTTGATCCCCAGGACCAGAAATAATAATAATAATAATAATAATAATAATAATAATAAAAGTAAACTATGAAATCAATCTACCAGGCACATTGAGGTCATTGGAGCACAAGGGCAGGCCAGGTTACAGAGATACAGAAGCAGCTGTTCATTCAGAAGACTCTGATATAAACCATGTGTTTATTGACTCATTTTTTGGAGATATAAGAATTAATTTTTGTTTTTCCTACTTTTTAGTATAGAGGAAATAATAAACTATTTCCTCAGTTATAGACACTTTCTTTATATTAGATAAAGCCTTAGTATAAAATTAAAAATAAATTTTGTAAAACTTCTTAAGAGAGTACATTTAATGATGTAAAACCAGAAATAAATAATAATAATAATAATAATAATAATAATAAAAGTAAACTATGAAATCAATCTACCAGGCACATTGAGGTCATTGGAGCACAAGGGCAGGCCAGGTTACAGAGATACAGAAGCAGCTGTTCATTCAGAAGACTCTGATATAAACCATGTGTTTATTGACTCATTTTTTGGAGATATAAGAATTAATTTTTGTTTTTCCTACTTTTTAGTATAGAGGAAATAATAAACTATTTCCTCAGTTATAGACACTTTCTTTATATTAGATAAAGCCTTAGTATAAAATTAAAAATAAATTTTGTAAAACTTCTTAAGAGAGTACATTTAATGATGTAAAATGATTCCTTTCAATCTTGGACTTTTATACTTTTTGATAGACTACATTTCTAAGAACTCTCAATACATATATTCATTGAAGATTTATTCAACAGTGAATTTTTTACAGGTCCAAACAAAAGTCTGTTAATACAAATAAAGATCTTAGTTTTTTAACAGTCATTATTTGGTTATTGTCTTAATTTTATATATTAATTCTAGGATAAAAACAATTGTGTGTTCAAATTGGGGAGGAAGAGTTTTATATTATCAAGTTGTAGATCTTATCAAACTAGTTTCTCATGAGAAAAAATTGCCATTTTTTCTCCTTAGTAATGATGTAAACTGTTAGTAATAAATTGAAACGCCTTTCTACTTTATATTTTTACAGTAGTTAACATATGTACCATTATTCTATGATATTAACAGTAATTTGCATATGAATCCCTGTGAATCTCAGAAGTAGACACATCTGACGAATAGAAAGCACTATTAGCTTCAGTGTACCTTAGCCATTTCTCTAAGCAGTTTTGAACAGGCACTGATAGTTTACATACCTCCTTCCCCACTTCAGGTTAGTAAGGGGTTACCACTCCTCTGTATCTTCCAGTACTACTCTCATAGAGGGCTTGGTGTAAGATGGATTGAGTCGGAATAGCTTCTTGTTGGACAATATGACCTATCAGTATCTGTAATGAATTGAAAAACAAATTAATTTAGATTGTTTTTATTCATTAAGAAAAATATTTGGGATGCTGTTTAACTGAAAATTGTATGTTCCTATCAAAATGAAATGAAGCAAATATTTAAGTGAATTTTCAATCTGAAGGAGAATAAATTGTGTATAGCCTGTTATATGGTACTCATGACATATACATTGTATCTGTAATGAAAGTGCATTGTTAATGGTAAAACATTATGTGATTGTTATCATAGCTCTGAAGGTAGCACTAATTTTCATGTGCCCACATATCTTTTTATATCACAAATATTTGTACATGTGGGCTTATTTTTAGTTCTGACATTTTACAATTTCTCCTTTGTTTACATGCAGCAAGGAGTTATGGGCGAAGACGAGGTAATTCATTTCTGTTTGCTATGGTGTAACTGTTTCTTACTGGGTTTTCCTGATCAGTGTCAGAATTAATTATTCCAGATAATTAATGCAGTATCTGAAAACTCATAGGAGAGCTAAGCTTTGATGTGAGCACTTACAAAAGTTTTTAATTCTAACTCTCTAAATCTTTAAGGTCTATTTTCATACTAATTATATAATTATTTAATAAAACTGTTCTACTTAACTATATACAAATTTTTAACTTTTAAAAAAGCTATTTCTGTATCTCTTAAAGCTGCTGTTTATAGTTTGCGTAACAAATTTGTCACTATAACTGTTAGTAAGGGTGGCATGCAGTGTGATTTTTTTTGTTCTCCAAACTAACAGATTATTAAAATTAAATTTAAATTATTACATTATGTAATTTATAACTGGATTATTTTATATGTTTGACTCAGTTGAAAATAGCACATACACTAAGTAAATTACTGCGAACACTGATTAGTAGAAATCATGCTGCTAATGTTTTTCTGCCTTCTGAGACTGCGGTCCTCTCTAACACCCACTTCCCTTTCGCCCCTTCCCTCCCTCCCTCCCTCCCGCTCCCTCGCTGAAGGGTTCCCCGGTGTTCTGGCCTCCCGAGAGTGAAGCTAGGGTTATATGATGCGGGAGTGTCACTGAACTCCCTAGGAAGGCATCTGACGTTTCCTGTGACTAAAACTTTGCCTCTCTCTTTTTCACGTCTAGAAATTGAGAAGGAGAAAAGTAGAATGAGAGGAAGCAAAAGTAGCTTAACACTGCTAGGCTGTGCACTAAGTAAGCAGTAACACGGTACTTACGTACTTCTGGTTGTTATTTGTGCCGCACGGAATAAAAAGCGTTCATTCTCCCTGACCTCTAGAATCTTCAAGTCATGGAGGATGAGCAGTAATCAGAATGCCCTGAGATAAGCGTTGCGTATGTGTACCAGTGCTTCAGTTTCTTCTCACCTGGTCATGAATGTGTGTGCTTTGAAAACGAACAAGCAAGACTGTTTGCCACCACTGCGGAGCCAAACTAGATTTCAGACTCTTATGTAGTAGTTCCTGTTTCATATTTCAGATCATTTGAATTCTACATCGTAATTGCAATTGTTTCTTCAAATGCTTGATGAAAACTTTTGCTTCTTCATTTTAACTAAAACATTAGAAGAGACCAAAACTCGAAGCTTAGAAAACAGGCTGAGTAACTCTGAAGACTGTTATTAGCAAGCTGAGGAGAGGGTAGGAAAGCTTTGAACTTTAGTACCTTTTTTTTTTTAGGTCTGTAGACTAACTTACTTCACTATGCACTTCTCTTGAAACCACCACCCATGTTTACCAGTCTGATTTTTAGGTATTTTGCAACTGTGGAGGAATGTAGGATTCTTTTCTTGTTAAAAACCTTTCATCTTTTAACATTAGTGACTTATGTTTAGTTTGGCATACTCCAATATAAATATCATGATCTAGTAAATTCCTACAAAGAGAGTAACAGTAAGGCTGTTATTTATCTTCTTAAATCTCAGTTCAGTAGTCATAGATGGTGATGATGGTAGTAAGAAAAAATAAAAATGTATTTTCCCATTTTTAGGAACTTGCTACCATTTTTATCCATCTCTGTCCCCTGGAACCTATGAAGGCATCCCCTTCAGAACTACCTTACTCACACAGTTTAAGGCTTCAGGATAAAAGCTTCATTTGAAACAGGTCTGACAGTTTCATACATACTTGGCTTGGCAGAAGAGGCAGTTGATACCTGATTTTTCTCTCAGATTATGTGGCATCACTGTAGTATTTTAGTTGGTTCTCCCGGCATTTTGGGAATCTAAACTCCCAAGGACTTCCTTTTATGTGCTTCATGCTTTAGATTTGATCCACCAAAGAAACTGCATTTATTCATTTTCTTTTTAGAAAAAATGAATCTCATATCTTCCATTCACATGAGATGTGTCACAGTGAGTTGGTATAGTTTTTGCTTCCAGCACAGTGGTGAGAGAACAGTATTCAGTTCCCTTTCCACTGCGGGGGACTGGTTTCTTCTTACTTGCCACCTCTGACTCACCTTTCAGTCCAGCACAAGGTGCTGTTTTCATTTAAAAGAATTCTAAGTTGACTACAGTTAAACCACATTACTACCAAAATGACTTTATAAATATTTTAAATTTGCTTAAGATAAAGATGAGCTTTAAATCAAACTGGTCCCAGGTATTGATTTAGGAATGCCGATAACTTTGGAATAATAAAAATGTAATAATATTGGAAATAAGAAAAAAAAAAACTAAGGCTTTCTTTCCCTGCGTTTCATTTGTAACCAGCTACTTCCTACTCCTGGGTTTCTCTGTCCTCTGGGAGCCAGAGTTCTGCTACTTGAGAGCTGCCTGGGAGACAGCATCAGGGGAAGGAAGACACACGTAGGAAGCTGCCAGTGACACCTGGAAAACTACCTCTTTTGTCACTACTCTTTGTTCGTTCTTTTTCATTCCATCCTGAGAGGGCACATACTGCTCTGGGTTAGAGCAGAGTAGGGCATCATGCAGGGAGGTGTGAAGTGTAATTTAAGCTCTTTCACTCAACTTAATATATTACTGTATTGCAGCCTGTCCTTTTAATCCTCTATTAATCCTCTTCCTGCTATGCTCCAGAAAGAATAAAAATGTAGAGAGTATTTTAAGTCATTGCAATAATATATTTAGTGGTACTAAGCCCCAGAAAGCAATCTTTTCTAGCAGATTAAACTCAAAAACTTGAGTTGGTAGATTAAATACAGTATGAAAAGATAAGAGAAATAATTTTAAAGTGAGGCAAATTATGGAAGTTCAGCTACCAACATTTGATTATTCAGTTACACACGACCATTAGTAAGGAATTACTGACACTGTATGTCTGACACACAGTCTTTGATGTATAATTTCAGTAATTATCAGAGAATGGCATGATCTTTAAAGCATGAAAAAGTGCCAGGATAATATTTTGTCACAGGGGTCAGCAAACAGCGTCCCACAGGCCATGCTTCCTGTTTTTATAAACAGTATTTATCAGAACACAGTTATTATTTACCCATTTGCTTCCTTTTTGCCTGGCTGCTTTGGGGCTACAATGATGGCACAGTTGAGTCATTGAACAGAGTGCATGTAGCTTGCAAAGCTTAAACTCTTTATTTTCTAGCCATTTAAAGAAGAAAAATTGCTGTCCTTGTTCTCCCTTCCCTCAAAAGATTGCACTACAGGGCCGGGGATTTAGCTCAGTGGTTCTGCCACCTCTGCCTTGCAAGCACAAGGACCCCAGTTTGATCCCCAGTACCCCCAAAAAATAAAAAAGTAAAAGATTGCTCTACACTTACACTCAGCCATACCAAATTTTAAAAAAAACAAAATTTTAATGAATTTAATTTTAAGGTAAATATATGTAAAAATTAAATTCACAAAGCCATCGGCTGATTATGGACTGAAAGCCCTATGAACTTTAAGCCAAATAAACCCCTTCCCTTCTAAAATAAAATAAAATAAAAGTGATAGATTAAAGTTAATTATCTTAGTTTTCTGGTATTAGAAAGTGGCAGACCTATTATTGGAGCTAGATGTTTTAAGTTATATGTGCATAATATTCTCAGTTGTTTGGAGCAGCATACCAGTCAGTGAGTCTATTTGATTAGACAGATGGCACTCAAGAGAAATCCATTCTGAGCTTCCTTCCCTCTATTACTTTGATAAATTTTAAGTCTTATTTATTAAATAAAAATCATGTCATCACACTGGTAAGTTATCTACCCTTGACTAAAAGATAAAAGTATTCATATTAATCTTTAATTTCTACACTTTTTGTATTTTTATTTCATAACATTCAGTAAATAAAATTATGAGATGGTCTATTGAGTTCAAGAAACCATGCTTAGATTCAAGCTAGAAATCAACTGTATTTCCGCAAACATTTTCTTTTCATCTCCTGCCTCCCCCTGTTGATGTTTTGGAAATGTGTTTACTGTGAGATTCTAGAATAAGGCTGAAGTTCGAAAGGTCAAGTCTGGTAGTTAACGTTTGGGAGCAGTGGTGCAGCCTCCAGTATCTGCAGCCGCGGCTTCTCTGGTCTGCATACGCGTGTTCTACGAAGAGACCTACGTAAACGGGGGCCAGACTTTAGGGCAAGGCCACGAGTCTACCACACCCTCATGAGAACAGGCTATTTCAGTTTAGGAACTCACGGTACAGTTTCTGTTCCATAGAACAACAGTTCTTATAGAAAGAGTGAAATTCCTGTGTTTTTTGTTTGTTTGTCTTGGTTTGGGCGAGTAGATTTTCACCAAAACTACTGTGATTTACTTCATTTTGGTTGGTGAGTAGATTGATATACCATACTTTTACCCATTCCCTATTGAAAGACCTTCCAGTTGGCCACTTGGAGCTTGGCAAAGCTTCCATGAATATTTGTGTACCCTTTGTGTGCTTGTGTGGACAGAAATGATTGGTTCATTGAATAATTGTATGTTTAAATTTATTAGAAACTGCCAATTTTATACTCCAAAGAATATGAACCTGACTTTAGATTATTGACATTTTTATTTTATCCATTCCGACAGGTTTATAAGTAGTGTCTCAATGCTCAGAAAAATGCTGAAACATTTTTTATATACTTACTGCCCATTCCACTTAATTATGATGTGTTTTCCAGTTTTTTATGTATTTTTATTCTTCCAAGATGTTAAGATTTTTGCATCTTTGTTTATAAGGAGTATTGGCATATAAGTTTTCTTTTAATATTGTCAAGTTTTAGTATCACAGTTATAAATACAGAAGTTTTTCCTCTTTTATAGTCTCAAAGAGAGTGTCTATAACTGCAGTTAACTTCTTTTTCAAAAGTCTAGCTCATTCACCAGTAAAGCCATCTAGGCCTGGAGTTTTCTTTGTTGGAAGGTTTTTTTGCTTTTTCGTTGTTTTCAAGCCATAATTTTACTATATTCTTTAACAGCACTATTCAAATTTTATTTTTCTTCTTGTACCAGTGTTGAAAAGGTTACGTTTTTCCAGGGATTTGTTCATTTCCTTTGGTAGTTAAATTTCTTAGCGTAAAATTGTCCATAATAATCCTTTTATTTTAGTCTTTACTGTCTGTAAATTTTGTTTTGATTGATGGTCCCTTTGTTATACATACTATTTGGTAATTTGAGTTTTCTTTTTCTCTTGAGCTTTGCCTAGAGGTATCAATTTTATAAGCTTTCAAAGAATCAAGTTTGTCATTATTGATGTTTTTTTAATATTAGCCTCTGCTTTCTGTTTCATTAGTTTTTTAATTTCATGTATTTTTTTAATTTAATTTGCTATTTTCTTCAATCTTTTGTGGTAGAAACTTGAAGAATTTAAGTAATTCTGGTTTGCTAAAGTGCATTTAAAGCTATAATTCTTCCTTTAGCTGTGGCTTTTGCTGCATCTCATAGAATTTATGTTGTATTTCCCTCATAACATATTTTTATTCCTCAAAGTAGAAGAACCTGAAAATATGTGTACATCATTCTTAGAAAGCATGTTTGAAGTACACTGTACATGCTAGGCATAATTTGTATTGTGGTTCTTATATGGTTATTAATTTGGGTTGTAGGGAAGGCTAATTTGCAAGATAAAAAGTAGTTTTTGTTGGTGATTGACACTCTTAACTCCTCTTCAAATTGAGCATACAATCCATGCTTTTAACAGCTTCTTGAAGGAAGGAGGTAGGTGGTGAAGAAGCTTTTTGGTGTCTCCTGTGTGAAATGTTCTCAGCCTTTCTGTTGCATCCTCTGATAACTGAACTTTGATGAATGGATTATAGATTGTTTTCGTAGTACTAACTCTAATAGATTACTAATAATACAGTGTGGTTATTGCAATCTATTTGTACATAAATATATTTACAATATTACAGTTAACAAAAAGCTTACATTAACTTTCGGCTCCTCTGGCATTGCTTATAGTGATTTATTTTGTCACTGCTTTTGATACTTCTATTTAGATCTCAAATATTTATGATTTGTTTTTTTCTCAAGATAAAAGTCTTTTAGACTTGGTTGAGTGGACTGCTAAGTTTATATATTAGGATACTTTGAAATGAAATAATTTCCAAGATATTGGCATGGCTGAAATAAGTACAGCATTTAGATTCATCATTTTTCCCCTAAAACTTATTTAGTACACATGTTTTTCTCTACCCTGGCCTTTTAAAATACACAATTATACAGAGAAAAATCTAATCTCTAGAAGTTGAACTGAGTGAGGTTCATTTTATTTAGTAAAAATACAGATTGAGCATCCCTAACCTGAAAATCCGAAATCTGCACAGCTTGAAACTACAGTATGCAAAACACTCTGGACCCAAATATTTCAGATAAGGGATTATTGATGTATAATTTCATGTTGAAGAGTTTCTTTTAATCTCTCACAAAGAATGTTGACCTCTTTTTCTGTTGGCTCCTATTTCTGATAACAAAAGTATTTGGAAAGCTAAATTGCTACTAACAGCTACTCAGTGAACATGGATATCTTTCAGAACATCCATAAAATAATTCCTGTTTTATATACCAAATATGGTCTTTAGCTGTGTGTTCATTTACACTGCACATGCTTATATCCAGCATCTGCCTGGCTAACTAGCTCATTCAGATATACAGCCTTCTCCTTTTTTCCCCTAACCCCTTAGAAGCAAGAGAGCATATTTTGATAGTGTGCATTTATATCACATCTTATGTATCATATTTTTCAAGATAACATATTGACACTGTGGGTTGAATATGACTTTATAGGTTAAGGCACATGCTACAGATTGTGTGATTGTCTCTTTATCCCCCCAAATCCTTCACTTAATCTTGAAAGAAAAACCTTGTCTATATTCTTACTCTTTTTCCTTCTCTAGGACATTTCTGAGGACCAGTCTTCATTTGATATTTGTACTTGACAAAATTCTAATTATATGTAACTCCCATCAGCTTTACTAAAACTGCTACCTTTAAAGATTCTACATATCCTTAAACATATAAAGTATAATACCATTTGGGAGATTTATTGGACAGACTACCTTATTCTTGCAGTGTCCTTCCTCTGAAGCACTTTGATAGCTTTCTTATGGATTTATGTTATATCTATTAGTCTTAACTTTTCTAAGATGCATTTTCTGAAGGCAGAAGACTGTCTTATATTAGATCATTTTATTTTCTCTGTGATCCCTGCAGTGTTCTAGCAGCAAGGTTGCATCAGAGGATTATATAGGGTGTACCTTGTACAAGGGTGCGCTTCTGAAGGGCAGGCTCAAATGGGGACTAGAGAGCTAGAAGGGATGTCTTTTTTATTTTACACTTTCATGAATTGGCATGCATGTAGTAAGTTACTTCAAGATCTTATATGCAAGTATGATTCATTGCCTTTGTCTTTACTTACTGTAGTCTGCAAGTGAATTTTAATTATGTCTTCTTATCTATTTAGTCTGTGCCACTTGTTTTATGCCACCAGTTTCTAAAGAATTCTCTTGCTAGGGCCGGGGATTTAGTTCAGTGGTACTGTTGTCTACCTTGCAAGTGCAAGGTCCTGAGTTTGATCCCTGGTACCAAAAAAAAAAAAAAAAAAAAAAAAAA